TATCTGACAGGAAGGGAAGGAAGAAGCAGCGAGACTACCTATTTATTACTGAGTGCAAAGAATAGAATAGAATAGAAGAGAGTATCAGGTTCAGCCGCAACATTCTCTTACATCCCTTTGTTTACTCGAGAGTCAAAGAGTGAAGGTTCAGTCTCTTTCCTTAGCCTATTACCCACAATTCCTATTACCGAGAGACAGGAAAATGAAATCGAAGAAAGAAAGAAAAAGAAAGAGGCTTTCCTTGCAAGAGCTGATACTAATTCATAATAAAATATATAATATGGGGAAAGCCTCTTTCTTTTTCTTTCTTTCTCCGATTTCATTTTCCTGATGAAGGGTAATAAGAATTGTGGGTAATAAGCTTTGTGGGTTATAAGGTTTTGTGGGTAATAAACAATGTGTATTACACAGCAAACAGTCAATTAGCCACACCTGGTAATAAGAATTGTGGGTAATAAGGTTTTGTGGGTAATAGGCTATGTATATTACACAGAAAATTGCATAATCCGCCACTTGAAAAACACCGAAGGTGGGTTATAAGGTTTTGTGGTCAGAAGGTCGAATAAAATATTTTAAATTTTTATTAGATGCAATTATAAAAAAAAAGTACTCCACGAAAAGTGTTACCCTTTAGAGTACTACTATTCTCATAATACTTAACATATTGATAAATAATAAAAACCACCACTTTCTAAACACATAGGCCTTTTCAACGACCACCAACAATCAAACTCGCACTACTCAAATACACACAGCACACACACTTACACAAACTCTCAAACTAGTGTAAGAATATTAGTACTCTGATAGATAAAGATATCACACCCTTCTCACTCACAATAACATCTAACTCACACCAAAGAAAGCCCTTACTCCTTACACCTTCCGACTCCGATGGTTTGTAGTAGGATCATCGGAGACAGTATCATCCTTTTAGAGTGAGGCACCTTCCACTGTGCGCCAAAGCCGAAAGCTTAGTGGTATTTCCTTCTGTGACTGCATTATGCTGGTGCAGGGCGAGTCGGGCAACTGCGGTATGACGTTTGTTTACTCTTTTGACATATAATAAGCTCCAAAGAATCCCTTACTCCTTACACCTTCCACTGTTTGCCGACTCTGATGTGATGGTTTTCGTCGTGGTTTACTTGACATCTGAGACAGGATCAGTGGAGTAGGGCACCTTCCACTGTGCGCCACATCCGAAGGCTTAGTGGTATTTCCTTCGGAGACTGCATCATGCAGGGCGAGTGGGGCAA